ACACACACACACACAGGCACAGACACACACACACACACACACACAGTAACCTGTAAACACACATTATTACATATACCGTGCACACACACGTGAGCTGTCCTGACGGGTCAAACTGAGCTGTGTGTTTGAAACTTGGTGAACTCAAGTTTCTCTTTCCACCGAACCACCCTGTTCAGGTAAGGACGCGCACACACACACACACTGATGTAAATTCGCACACACAGTAATGAAACAAACAGATGAAGGCTGCTTGTTTCTATAGCGACCGCTTTACCAGCTCACACTGAGCAGATTGACTCGTTAGGACGGCCACCGCGTCGCTAACGGACAGCAGGCTCTCAATTATCATCGAACACACAGGTTTGTGATTCAGCTGTCTTTGTGGGCACCCTGAGGACCATCATAATAATAATAATATTAATAATAATAATAATGATGATGATAATGATGCACTCTCAGGCTCTGTATAAGCCCATCTCAACCAATGACAGCAGAAAGTCAATAAGTTTCAGCGACTAATGTCAAAATAACCGATGAGAGAAACCAGGTGAGCAGAGGAAGTGATCAGCTGGTTGCTGGTCGTGGCTGATGGTTTGTCCTTAATGGACTTTCCAGGATGTGGTTGCCTAGGTAACCCTCTAACCTATTTAACACCTCCTCATATGTCTGTCAACAGCTTCTTGATCGCTCGCCACCTGTTAACTTCACATTGCCATTGACTCGTTGTCACTGACTCTCTGTGCTGGTCAGCACGTCACTGCAAACCTGCTGCACATTTACAGCATTACAGTTAGTACTGCACATACTGCAGTACATTAACATACACTACTCTTTTACCCATAGAGTTTACTGCAGTACTTTTGCTATAGTACATTTACTGAATACTAACAGTGAAGTCCTTTACCACAGTGAGGACCTCACAAGGTGAAACGTTTACAATGGTTCTCACAAGGATATATTTACAAGAACACACACACACACACACTCTACCTGTAGCTCTTCGGGGGGCCGTGGCCTTCGAGCAGGAACTCCTGAACATTCTGCAGAAACAAACAAACAAAGAAGAAGGTTGTTTGTTTTCTTCTTTGTCTTTTATTTTGGTTTCCAGCTGCACCAAACAATTATTTCATAAACAGAAATCATCCTGCTGAAAACATCTTTTCATGTAAAACGTCTCCTCGTATGAGAGTTATCTGAAGGCCATTATTTTCTCTGTCGACAGTCAACACTGATGAAAGGATCTGATTTCAAACCCACAGCAGCAGCGAGCGCATCTCTTACTCCTCACTCTGTGATCTCAAAGCTCATTGGTTCCTGCTTTTAAAGATGACCTTTGCCATTTGGGCCAATGGGAGTCTTTCCCCTACAAACAATGACTGTGAATGAAACTATTTTTGAGAGTGTGGCTGTATCGTGATGTCTGGAAGCAGGTTTACCTCCACAAAGCTCAGCAGTTTTCCCGTTGACATCTCAAAACCCTTTTTGGCCGCCTCGCTCTTCCGCAGCTGACACTCCAGGACGGCCGCTCGCTTCTTCAGCTCGTCCGACTCCTCCTGAGATCAAAAACATTCAGATTCTGGTCATTTATGATCTCCTCGCGTTTACAGCTCCATATTTTTAATGCTAAACCCTAATGGAGTTTATTTATCTCGCGTTGGCCTGCGCTCGTCCTCTGCATGTCTCTTTGCTCTGATTGGTCGACTTCTGGAAGTCCGTCGAGTACCATCTTTTCCGAAGTGACCCGTGTACCGGACAGCCTGATGGGAATAGAGGACTGGTTCCATCTGGGGACACGTCATGTCTTGTGCACTTCCTGTTTCATATCTCGTCCTTTAAAGAAAGTAGTCCTTACTTCCTGCCCACAGTTTTTCCCACTGTGATTACCTGCTGAGTCACCCCCCCCTCAGGTGTCACCGCTTCCTCCCTGTCTGTTTAAATACTCAAGCTTCTCTTCAGTAAACAAAAAGCTCATTTGTGGCTCCTGTTTCTGCTTTAACTGTAACTGGCTGTCCAACCTTTTCAGTTCCCTTTTTAAAACGATCATAAATATGTTAAATTAAAAGCAGTGGAGCTGGCGACCCTGAAACAGGTCATTTAACTGTAAATTAGCGTTCGATGAACTGGTTCACGGAGACTAAAGCAGACACCACAAACACAGACAGGAGCCAAAGAGGCCAAACATCTTACAGAAGTCTCATTTCCTGTGCTTGTCTTGGGTGCGTGACGAGTAAAAGCCGTTAATGAAAAGTGTTTGCATGCAGTCGTGCTCCGGACAAAAGCTCTTTGTTTCCAGTGTGAGCACTTTTGTTTCTTTCTGCAGGCTTTTGTTTTGTTTTGGCTCAGAGAAACAACGCTGAGCGGATTTCTGCAAAACCTACGTCAGAGAGGGAAGCGGCTCTGTCACCAAATACACCTGACCCACATTCAGGCCTGAAGACGAAAGATGGACCTGGAGGGGGAGCAGCAATAACCCGGCACCAAAAAGCCTGTGTTTTTAATTTTCCCCCTTCATTGTTCCCGTGTTGAAGAAGAAGCCCAGGCTGCAAACATGCTGCAGTAATAGAAAAACCATTACATAACAGAAAGGTTGCTGTTTTTTCACTATCATCATAGAAATGTTTGATTTTACGACGACTCAACATCTTTGTAGTCTTGGGTCATTGGCTTTGATTGGTGGCAGTCAGCTGCCTTCCTGCTTCCTCATCCTTCCAGTTTTATAAATGTGCCAAATAACTGAAGCTGAAAATGGTTTCACACATAATCTAGAGAAATAAAAGTACTGACCGGGACTCGGCGGTAATCGTCAGCAGCTCTGCTTGGTGCCTACCATGAACTGACCCATGTGGTGTGAGTCACCTTGTTGGCTGATGCCTGGTGCTCCATCCTCTGAGTCTTCAGCTCTGCGATCTCAGCCTCCAGCAGGTGGATCACCTCCTCGTAGTCCATCTCCATCCCTCTGGCCTGCTTCTGGGCCGCCTCAGCCAGCTGGATTCGAGTCCTCAGAGCTCGGCTCTCCTCCGTGCTGTGTTTCACTTCCTGTCAGAAAGAGTGGAGGAAGAGGAGAGGAGGAGGATGGGGTAGAAGGAGAACATGAGGGATTACTCGGCAGACTTTCAGTGGTGCTTTCAGGCCCTGCTCAGTGCTTTTGACAGGCCTCCCAGGTGGTCGTGCCATGATTTGGGATTCGTGGTGTCAGGATGAGTTAGTGTGACGAGGCTCTTTGCTGTGGCCTCGGGACGTTTCTCTGAATCAGAAGGCTGTGCAGTCGAGTCCCAGCAGGCCTGTCAGCGCTCAGCATACCTCTGTCTGTGATAAGGTTACCTATGGTTGGAGAGCAGCATTATCATCGAAACAATAAAACAAACCTCCGTCTGGTGACAAAGATCGATCAAACCGTTGATGAACGCTCACAGCACTAAACCTTTATCTGGATTTTTACCAGCAGCTGACACCATGAATAGATCAGGAAAATGTGAAAGCAAGGAATTTCTCACTGACATTAACCCCATCATTAGAAATAATGCAGGTTTGAGGCACATAATCATCGGCTTCACTTTGAGATCTGTAGGCTACAACCAAGATCCAAAAGCCATGAAATCCAAGTAAACTAGCAGTGAACAGGAGAACGATGGAAACTCCGCAACAGGAAAGACTTCTTAGAAAGTCAGACTAAAGGACCAGATGAAGTCGAGACAAAATGAGGAGGATGGTTTTCAATGTCTTTAAATTGACTTTAATGTGCACTCATTTTTATAAAACTAGGTTAAAATAAACCTCCAATCATTTAAAACAACACTGACACTTATAAACTTTCCATAAACGCAGTTTATGAGATGCTAATTAATTTAATTTATTTCACATCAACAGTCGGCTCAGGGCGCACGTTATTGTAAGTTAAAACCCCTACAGTAACACAGATAATCAGACAACCCCTGTGAGCAAGCACTTTGGCGACAGTGGGAAGGAAAAACTCCCTTTGAACAGGAAGAAACCTCCAGCAGAACCAGGCAGGAAAGCAGTCCTACATATTTGTGCATTAAGTGCACTGAAGAGCGTTTCCTGATCAAGGTCCCTCACAGTGTTACCGGAGGCCGAGGTCACGCCCTGCAGAGTGAGCAGAATCCAGCCGACAGCATCAGTAGACGTCATCCTCTGAGGACCATGAATACCACTATAATCATAAAGGTGCATTGACCAGGAGCTCAGTGAGCACTGCAGTCGCTGTGAAGACTCAGACGTGTCTGTGCAGTCACACCGTCAGCATGAGTAACGCTCGAGCTAAAAATAAAACGACAGGTCATCGTCGCTTTTTGGCAGGTTGTTTTTGTTGGAATGAGCTCTTATTGTTTGATTGTGTGTTTTAAGAGCGAGGCCGGGCCCGACTGACTGGCTGGCGCTCGCTTACGTAACAATGCTGGAACAAAAACAAGACACAAGCTTACTTCATGTCCTCGTCTCACTCCTGGCTAATGATTTTTCAACGGAGCTACAAAACGTCAGCATGAGCCCGATCTGAACTCTGCAAAAACCACAAAGCCACATTCAGTCAGGTCAAAGTGAACAAGGCTGGGCTCTGTGGACCAGCAGCATTTTAAACACACACCTTTCACCAGCTCAGAGTGACGCTGACATGCAAACAAACATTTTTACTCCTGTGTCAAACAGAGTGTGAACGACAGCCGTGTAACAATGAGTCAATGTTTCTAAACCTGTTCGTTTCTCTACAGAAGCGAAGCACAACGAATGCTGCCTCAATTTTAGTCATATTTCAGTTGCAGCTTTTCATTCACAGTGAAGCCCCAACACTTCGTCCACTTATCCACCTCCTGCAGCCATAGCTGGACTGGCTATAAATAAAAACGAAAAATCACCATCGGCCCACCGAGCAAATGCCCGGTGGGCCGATGTTTTTATTTATTTTTTTATAACAGTATAAACAATGAAAGGTGGTGGATTGGCCAGATGCTGGTCGGTGTGTAAAAATAACTCAGTTGTTTGGTGGTGGCTGTGGCGGAGCTTCCACAGAGGCCAGCAGGTGGATGAGACAAAGGGGAGGCAGGAGGAGCAGAGACCCGAGGCGGTGAACTGAACTTCAGGTAAGAAGTTATGACCTGCAGTCTGTCTGGTCAGATATAAACCAAGTTTAGTTTATTTTCGTTGTGCTCACTTTTTACAGTCAGTTACAATAACTCGCACTGCTACTAGCTAGCATGACGGAGTTTCTGTACAGCTGGGTGGTGCTGTGATGTTACTGATAGTGAACTTTATTTTATTCATAAGGTTAGTTAGTAGCTGCCAACCGTCCCGTAAAAAGACGGAATCGTCTCGTATTCAGAGAAAATATTACGTGTTTTGTATTGAGGTGAAAAGGAACAGTTTGTCCCG